GGGGCTGAGGTGAAGGCACCAGGCTCCAGAGCCCAAGGGCAAGCATCATCCTGGTTCTCCTCCTGACTCCTCACATTGAAGATGTATGCCTGCTCGGCTGGCAGTCAGCCAGGCTTCAAGATGGTGCATTTCCAGGTCAGGCCTCTCTGCTCCGTGGGTAGGCCATCCGTCATAGGCTGACGCCAGGCAGGCTGGACAGGCCTTGGCAAGCTCTTTGCTCTTACTCTCACTTTCACAAGCATCACTGGCACTCAGGAGCCAATTTAGTAACTGAATCTGGACAATAGTACTGCCAAGTGCTCTGATAGCAGCACATTCTCTCCTCTGTAGAGAAAACTTCATGGAAAATGAAATGAAGTCCAAACGTGGTGATGTATGTAAGAGTTCACACACAGGAGCAGCCATGTACTTATAAGGATGTTCACTGCACCGGTTTAAGATAGTAAAAAAGGAAATTAGAAAAAATTGTCTAAGAATAGAAGACTAGTTAAATTATAATGACAATAAAACCACATGTTTCTTCTAGGTGCTAATTTTTCTATTAAACCCAGAAGGGAGAAAATGAGTAGTAGAATCAGTGAGGACGATTGTAGAAGTTGTTATGTAGCATAGAGTTTGTTCCCACTCATAGTGACCAACGCACAGCAGAATGAAACCCTGATCAGCCCTGCACCGTCCTCACCACTGTGGCAATGTTTGGACCCACTATGCAGCCACTGTGTCAGTCCGTCTCATTGAGGGTCTTCCTCTTTATTGCTGACCCTCTACTTTACTAAGCAGGATGCCCTTCACCAGGGACTGGTGTCGTGTCCAAAGTACATGGGAAGAAGTCTTCCATCCTCATTTCCAAAGAGTGGTCTGACTGATGTCTTTTTCCAAGACAGATTTGTTCAGTCTTTGGACAGTCTGTGGGTATATTGAACATTCTTCACCAGCACCATAATTCAAAGGCATCAGATCTTCGATCTAACTTCTTCTTGTCTACCTTTCGAATGCTTATGAAGTGGTTGAAAAGCCATGGCTTGAGGCAGGCTCACGCTAGGTCTCAAGTGGATCTCTTTGCTGCTAACACTTTAGGAAGTGCTTTTGCGGCAGCTTGTCCCAATGCAGTGCATCCTTTGACTTCTCAACTGATGCTTTAGGGGTGCCGATTGTGGATTAAAGTTAAGTGAAAAATCCTTGACAAATTCAACATTTTCTGCTTATCATGATGGTACTTATTGGTCCAGTTTTGAGAATTTTGTTTTCTCCATGATAAGGTGTAATCCATATTAAAGACTAAAGCCTTCAATCTTCCTCAGTTAAGTACTTCAAATCCTCTTCACGTTCAGCAAGCAGGGTTGTGTCATCTGCGCATCACACAGGCTGTTCCCACGTCTTTCTTCAATCCTGAGACCCTGTTCGTCTTTGCAGTGTCCAGCTTCTTGGATAATTTACTCAGCATGGACACTGAACATGAAGAGCAGGAAGACACAGCCCTGACGTTCACATTTCCTGGTTTTAAACCATGAGAGATTCTCTTATTTGAAGGGTTACCTCTTTTAAAAAAATCATTTTATTGGGGGCCCATACAACTCTTATCACAATCCATACATACATTCATTGTGTCAAGCACACTTGTACATTTTAATTTTATTTTTACAGTTATTATAGTGATTTTTAATTTAATCATTATATTGGGGGTTCATACAACTCTTATCACAATCCATCCATCCATCCATTGTGTCAAGCACATATGTACATTTGTTGCCATCATCATTCTCCAAACATTTGCTTTCTGCTTTAGCCCTTGGGCCACCCATACTTATTTTGGATTGCCATTAGCCTTTAAGACCCAGATGCTATGTCTTTTGATAGCCGGGCACCATGATCTTTCTTCACCACATTTGCTTATGTAGAAGGGTTACCTCTTGATCTGTGTATAGGATGAGATGTTCTAGAATTCCTCATTTGTTATGGTCCACACAGCTGAATGCTTTTGCATAGTCAATAAAACAGAGATAAACCTCTTTCTGGTATTCTCTCTTCAGCCAAAATCCATCTGATGTCAGTAATGATATCCGCATTCCACATCCTCTTCCGAATCCCGCTTGAATTTCTAAAATTTCTGTATCAAACTGTTTTTAATTATCTTGACCAAAAATTTACTTGCCCCGATGGTGCAATGGGTTACCTGTTGGGCTTCTCACACCAAAGCCAGTGGTTCAAATCCACCACATGCTCTGAGGGAAAAAGATGAAGCAGTCTGTCCCTGTAATAGAAATACAGTCTCAGAAACCCTAAAGAGCCCAGGGCCATTATGAGTCCAAATGGTTGAGACAGCCGTGGATTTGGTTTGGCTTTGGTTTATGATACTAATGATATTGTTCGGTAATTTCTGCATTCAAATATGAATTCTTCCCATCAGTTGGCCCGCTAACTATCTTCCACATTTCTTGGCATAGATGAGTGAGGAGTGCATTGGATTAATTTGCTGAAACATCTTAATTGATATTCTGTCAATTCTTACCGCCTTGTTTTTTACAAATGCCTTCAGTGCAGCTTAGAGTGCTTCCTTCAGTACCATTTCAAATGGTCCACTGTGATGTTGACCATTGCGTTAGTCTGGGTACATTAGAGAAACAAATCCACAGAAACTCATATGTATAAGAGAGAGTTTTATATAAATGGTAACTGTACATTAAGAAAGCATCCCAACCTAGTGCTGCCCAAACCCATAAGTCTAACATTAATAGCCCAAATGTCTGACACCAATCCATAAAGTCCTCTTCCATCTCACAAAACACACGCAATGATGCCGACTGCAGGAGGAGAGCTGAATCAGTGAATGTGTAAACATCTCAGCGCTGGCAGGGGTCTCCACACGGCTGCTCCAGCACCCAGGGCTGTATCGGGGTAGGTCCATGTGGCTTCTCGGCGATGTCTTGCAGGAAGTGAGCCTTGCCAGCTAAAGCAGGGAACTGCTAAGGCAGCTGCACCCTGGTCCGACCATCAGAAAGCAAGAGACCCAAGAACTAGAAAGGTGAGGCTCACTGAGCCAATTATCTCTCACCCTTCAATTAACCCCACATGTGTTTATCTGTCAGGTTGGCACAATAAACTTAACCATCTCAACAATCATGTCTTTTGATCTAAAAGATTACATCATTAGAAGAAAAATTATTCCACAAAACAAGATCTGTATTTATGGGGTCTGCAGATGTGACTATTTCAGATTCTAAAATCTTTTTTATAAGACTTTTTTATGCTATTATTAATTTTTTTAAACTAAAGCAAGGATTGGATGCAGAATTTGGAACAAATTTCGTTATGTTGCTATTAGTAAGTTCAGGACTAGTAGTACTAGTTCAATGATTTGTACCCATTAAACCTGAGCATTCAGTACAAGTCTCTTTTGATTCATTATGTCTTTAAAAGGAAGTTACTTTTAGAGTTTATCTTAGAGATTCACAAATCCTTTTCTTTTTATCTTCCGCCAGCTTTCATTCTGTGTTCTTCTTGTTGCCATTTTGCTTTACCTAGATATAAAATTACGTGACTTTTAAATCTGCTTCTCCCATGGTGAATACACTTAAATAACTGTAAATAACTTTATAAAATAAGTAAAATTTCTGAACTAAAGTGAAAACTCAAATAAAAAATGGATTTGGCACATTTAATTTCAATCTTCAGATCTGAGAGTCAAAGAAAGAATATATATATTTTTAATTTTAATAAATAATTTTGTTAAGGGCTCTTCCAGCTCTTATAACAATCCACCCATCAATTGTATCAAGCACATTTGTGCATATGTTGCCATCATCATTTCCAGAAAGGAAGAATGTTTAAAGTCAGTAGGAAATAATGTAATTCTCGTGTTGTCCTGATGACTGGTGGTAAATCCGTCACACATCTCCGTGAATTTGCTTTGCATCTTGACTTGATACTTAAAGGCTGGTGTCTCTTCACCTTTTGAGGCTGGGTCTTCACAGTTCCTCAGACAACTGCTGGTACCTGAGGGGAGGAGAGCAACTGCAGAGCAGGATGCAAACACAAGGGCGTGCTCACTGCCAGTACCTGCCGCGGTTCGCTTTGTGCCGGCCAGGACCAGCTTTGTCAGTCTTCATGTGATCGTAGTGTCCCTGGTGTGCTCCTATGTGGCCCACAAGAGAGAACTGAGTGTGAGGTGGATCCAGTCATTCAGCAAAGGAAAGGAAGCACGGAATTACTGTCATATACAAAGTTGATAAAGTATACATTTTATGTCTGTGTGGAACTGTTGGCTGCCCCTCCTGTTCAGAAATATGTAGATAACTGATGTAATGGTAGCACTACTTCTCCACAAGCAAGGTTGCTTCATGAGTTGGAACAATGTCAGTCAACTTCTTAAAAGAAAGTTAGTCTGAAGGAAAATGGAAAATAAAACCATTTACATAATTTTTATTATCTAAATAGTCAATTTAATTCCTTATGAGGAATGGTTCAACTATTTCACAGGGAGATACATGAATATAATGATGAAATAGAAATACAATGTTCTGATAAATACCCTTTGTTGATTTCTTGGAAGACAAATTTAGAAACGCACTCACTGTTACAATACAGAACATATTTTGCACAATGAATATGGAATTTTAAGTCCTCTTCCTATGCCTAGCCCATCATTTATTAGTATGTATACGTTAATATTGGTAGAGTGGTTATGAGTTGGGCTCCAATCCAAACGGTCGGCAGTTCAAAACCACCAGCAGTTTCACAAGGGAAAGACTGGGCTTTCTACTCCCATACACGGTTTCAGTCTCAGATACCACGGGGTTCACTATGAGTCAGCTTTGACTCAATGGCACTGAGTGTGGGTTTTGGTTTATAGATTATTAGGTACTGTATCCCATGTAGTAAACAATGAAAATACTTGATATATAAATTAACTATTAATTCTACATTAAACTATTAATATTTCCAATTTTTTGGACATTTGCTCTATTAGTATTATATTAAACTATTACCTATGGTTGTATTATGTTAAATATATGTTAGATTGCATCTTTGTGTATGCCAAACACATTTTGAAGCTATAAATATTTGAAGTTATAAATATTGTTAACAAAACGTAGGGCAGAACTGTATGTAAATGCTAACAAGTTAGACCTGCTTGGGAACAAGTGCAGTCAGGTACTACACTTGATCTCAGCCAAAAGGCCGAGAAGTGAAACCAGTGCAGTCACGGAACTCTATAGGAGCGTGGATGGTGAGGCTGCTATCAGGAGAGACCAGTCCCTTAGGAGACAGATAACAATGAAGGTATTTGAAGATAATGAAGTGTAGCTAAGACAGCCTTGCACCTGGCCACCCTCGGATCCTGCGTGTTTCTGGCCAGCGCATTCTACACAAAGGGACCGGTATCACTTTCATTTAGTCCCCTGCCAGTTCCCTCCTACTGCGCAGCTCCTTTCCCCCTGTTTCTTGTGTGCTTGGCATCTATGAGCCCTTACTTTGAACAACTGGTGCCTCTGCGTTGCTGATGTCCTAAGCACGTGCTCACCTGGCTTATTGGGTAATCTGTGCCTGGCTGGGAATGATAAATTGAAGAGTAATAGTATCACCTTCCTTGTCATAAAGAACATATCAAGATCTGTCCTGATCAGTGGTGGGATAATATCCATTCTCCTACAGCAAATATCAGCTGTTACAACTATTATGAACCACCATTAATGCCAAGGTTGAAGAAATTGAAGATTTTTACCAACTTCTGTGGTGTGAAATTGAGCAATCATGCAATCAAGATTTACTAATAATTCCTTATGACTAGAGTGCAAAACTAGAAACAAAGAAGGATCCGCAAATGGAAAATATGGCCTCAGTGTTAGAAATGAGGCCAGAGATTACAGGATCGAATCTTGCAAGACCAACAACCTGTTCACTGGAAATACTTTTTTTCAACAACATAAATGGTGATGAGGACCTCACCAAATGGAATGCACAGAAATCAAACTAGCTACATCAAACCACATATGAGAAGAGATAGCTAAACAGAAGTTTAAAGGGTAGCATGAGGATACAGAATAAAAATGTGTAAAGAACTAGACTTTGAAAATCAAAAGGAGAGCACATGCTTGGCATTTCTGAAGCTGAAAGAATTGAAGAAAAAATCCAAGCCTCAATTGCAATATGGAAGGATACTGTGGGCAAATATTGAAGGCTGCAGGAAGCATCAGAAGATAGAAGGAAGTGGGATAGACAACAAAAAGTGGGTACAGGGAGACATCGGTCCGTGTAAGACATGAAAAAAAAATGATCAAGGTTTCATGAGGGAGAGAGAGTCGGGGAGGGAGGGAAAAAAGTGAGAAGCTGATACCAAGGGCTCAAGTAGAAAGAAAATGTTTGGAGAATGATGATGGCAACAAATGTACAAATGTGCTTGACACAATGGATGGATGTATGGATTGTGATAAGAGCTGTAAGAGCCCCAATAAAATGATAAAAAACAACAACTGACATTTCCTGGAAGGATACAAATAATAATTGTGGTAGTTACATAATTTGGTGTCAATTTGAGACTTGAGAGGATTAAGAGTGAAGGGGTGGAGTCTAGTCTGTCAATCAGATCGTAGCCAATGAGGCCTCTGTGTGGACACGGCCTTGGTGGGAGACAGTCTCTCTCTCTCTCTCTCTCAGCTAACTCCCTGAGACGCTCTATTGACAAGACACATGACACTACGCCCTGGGAGCTGGAGAAGCCACATGGACTTACCCTGATGCAACCAGACTTCTGCAGCTGGAGAAGCCACACAGAGACCCCTGCCGGCACTGAGATGCTTACACCGCCACTGGATCCAGAAGACTTCCAACCCACTGGCCTGTGATCCTCCTACATTTGGCGTCATTGCATGTGTTTCGTGAGTTTGAAGAGGACTTTATAGATTGGTATCAGACGTATCGGCTAATATCAAACTTATGGACTTGATCTAGACTGGGCTGGGATGTTTTCTCAATATTCAATTGCTCTTGTATATAAACCTTTTTCTTATTCACACACACACACACACGCACACGCACACATGCTAGAAGGAATACTAATTATGTCACTAGGACCGGTGTCACCCTGTGTGGCCTCCCATGGTGTCATCCCCCACCATGAGCTTTTTCCCATAGCAGACCACACAATTTTAATCATAGAATACTATGTGATAAATATAGTTATAAATTGTTTAAGTGTAGTATTTCTTAGATTACATGAATATTAATACCACACTTGTTTTGTAAAATTGTTCTCCATTGAATGACAACATTATTAGTTACAACATTATTAGTATCTGAGTAGAAGCCTTTTTAAGGATTCTCCTTTTTCCTTTACCACTGCTTTAAAAATTATTGATATAGGTTATTATTACCATGGTATTTTAGCTAACACACCAGAAATTTTGATAAAATAAGCAACTATAAGAACAAAGGCTGGTCGGCCCACTGTCTGATCAGACATGTCCCTCTCCCTGAGCTGTAGCTTCAGTGCTGTCCTCTGAAGTAAATTCTTCTGATCAGAGTACATGGGAGCAAAAGAAGCGGGAGGAAGAGAGAGTGGAGCACATCCTGGCCCACCAATCCTTGAGGACAATATCCCTGCTCAGAGCAGCCAACGCACAGAGAGGACCATATGGCCGGCCCCATTATGAGATAAGACATCCCTCACTGACCCATAGCCCTACAGAAGACAACACTGGAGACACAGTGTGGGAATTGCGCCCACTTTGACCCCACCACCTCGAGGCAAAACACTAAGGGCGTGCAACAGACCAGCAAAGGGAGCAGAACAAGAAAGTCCCGAGGGAGTACCAAAAATAGACTTTGCGGCCAGGGCGTGGCACCCCATCAGACTCAACTGGAAAACACTCCTAAAGGTCAA